GACATCTAAGCAAAGACATGAAGGAAAGGAGGGTAGCCCATCCCCCTGTCTTTTGCTTGGTAAATTCTATTTCATCCTTCAGATCTCAGGTTCCAAATCACTCCTCTGAGAAGCTCTCCTTCATCCCCCACACAGGTTAGTACTACCGTATGTTCCCATTGCAACACATATTTCTTCTTTGTAACATTCACCACAGTTGTGATTACTTGTTCTATATTCACCTCCACCATATCTGTGTTAAGTTCCAAGAGAACAAGGATTGCATCTCTTTCATTCACCTCTGCATCTGCAGGGCTTAACAGTGTTGGTAAATACACTCACTCGGGTATTTGTGAAGTACTTACTATATGGACGAAAGTGGGACATACTCAAAAAAGGAAAAACAGAGTCCAGAATTAGCATGATGTGTCTGAGCACCACAAATAAATTGATCCTTTTATGCCAAGGGATGAGAATCAAAAACTGAGGAAAGGGGGTTGAAGATGAGGCCAGAGAGATATTCTGGGACCTGATCATAGAAAGCTTCAGTTGTGACGTTACAGTCTGAAGGTGACGGAAGGTGTTAGGTAGATGAGTACCATTATTTTTGTATTTTGCAAGAACCACTCTCAACCAGTATGGAAAATGGATTGGTAGGTGTCTCCTAATAGCCACACTCCTCTTCCTTAGTAACAGAACTCCCAATTTTTAACTGGGTAAAAAAATGACTGGTAAGAATAAAGTGACATTTCAGCCTCCCTTGTAACAAGGCCTGACCACATGACAAATTTCTGATGTGCAACTTTTCGGATGTGTCTTAAAGGGAGGAGGATATGCCCCTTCACCCACTCCCTGCTCCATTCTGTCCCTTGGAATGTTTGTGTGCAAAGTAAAGCTCCATCCTGGGTCACATGACTGAGAGTCATACCTTTGATACAACAAGCAGAAAGCTTAGGAGTAGCTTGGTTCTTGGATGACTGTGATGTCACACCAGTCTTGGATTAGATTTTTACTTGAAAGAGAAAAGTTTGTAAGCCACTGTCATTTTTAGTCTCTGTTACATATACCTTAGCTAAATGCTAACTAATCAAAGGGGTCCAAGCTCAAGGAATAAGCTGTTAGGTGACTGCTGCTGTGATCTATACAAGAGCTGATGAAAGTTCGATCAAGGTAGTAACAAAGGACATGGAGAGAAAAGAAAGGTTTCAAGAATTATTTAAGCAGAATTATAAAGCTTAGGAACTGAGTGGTAACTAGAATGACTGATTTGCTCCAGATGGAAGCTTTCAGGTGTTGACTGATCTGTGAATATTAAGGGCAGAAGAGACCAACCAGTGAGATTAGGCATGAAAAACACCTCTAAATCATTGGCAAAACGTCAAAAGTTAAATGCAGACTTATTTCTGTCTCTTCTGATATTCAGCCTTTCTCTTCCTATGTAAATAGGAGATTGAGCTGGGAGGAAACTGCAAAATGTTCATTCAACAGATATTTACCAAGCACGTATTATGTGCCAGGCACTGTGATAAGGGTACAATGGTGAGCAATACAGCCGTGGACTGTGATCTCATGGGGTATGTAATTACCAACAGTTAGAAGTGCTACATGCCACAAACATGAGGCATTATGGGAGCTGGAGTCTGGGAAGAGTTATGTGAGGAAATAGCATTCACACTAAGTACTCAAGAATGAGTAGGTAAAGTGAGGGGAAAGCACTGCAAGTCAGGAAATGGTGCAAAGGCCCCGAGATGGAATGGTACCTGACAGGTTAGAAGAATGGAGATGGCAGTGTGGTGAGAGCACAGAGAGGCAGCAAGTGAGTTGCAGCTCAATTCAGTTCAACAAACAGTACTGACAGTCCAGTGTTTGATAGTCCATGATAAGATAAAGCTGAGGTGGGCAGGGACGGAATCATGCACGGTCTGAGGTCACATGTAGAATGCGTTTTTATCCTAAGAATGGGAAGCTATTGTGAGGTTTTAAGCCTCAGTTTATTTTCTGGCCTATCAACGGAGAAGAGATTGGAGGGATGCAGAGGTAGATATGAGGTAAAATAGCAATTGCAGTAACACTGTTGGAAGATTGTAAAAATGGGGAGAAGCAGACAGAATCAAGGGATATTTAGAAATGTAAAACGTAAACAGATGGGATTTGGCAACTGAGTGAGGTTTCTAGCTTCTGCAACTGGAGGAGTACTAGGTATACGAAAGCTGATGAGGAAAACATGCTGAGTTGGGGATATTTTTGAGACACCTAAGTGGGAATGTCAATCGAGTAGCTCAGAGGAGAGATCTAGGAGGCACCAGTAACTGAAGCTGAATGGAGAGGACACAATCCTAGAAAAATGTCTGAGAAAGGAGAGGCCCTAGAGAAACCTTTAGATGTAAAGGCTGGAAGCAGGTGACCCTCAAAGGGGGCTATAAAGCATGGTGAAAGTAGTAGTAGAACCATTAGTGGGGTCACAGACACCAATGAAAGACTGCCAATGATGAGAAACTAGTCAATAGTACCAGATGCTACTGAGAAGTGAAGTAAACTGAGCACTGGGAAATCAGGGATATGAGTCATTTGGTAGGCCAGGGTGACCTCATCAAGAACAATTTCAATAGAATAGATTGTAGAAGTCAAAATACACTGGGTGGAGGAATGGGAATGGAGAGAGCCACAGTATCCAAATGTTTTAAGAAGTTAAGCTGTAAAGTGGAGAACAATAGGATGATAGCTGGAGGGGAATAAGGTAGTGGTTTAACAGGACAGTCTTTAGCATGTTTGAACAATGGTGAGAATATAGTAAAATAGAAAAAGTCAGAGATCCCCATAGAAAGGACTAGGATTCAGAGCAGGAATAGGCACTGGCTTTGAGGCATGTTTGCCCTATTGAGATGGAAGGAAAGAGAGAATGATGCAGGTATAGGTGGGTGACCAAGTTGTGTTGTGAGATTTTGTGGGAACTCCTGATAGCTTCTACTTTTACCTATGAATTAAAAAATAAGGTTACTTGCAGAACACTGAAGAGAATAGTGAGGGTAGTAAGAGGCTTAAGAATACTGATTTTTGAAAGTATTCATTGCAGGGAGCAGCAGTGACTGGAAAAACCTCGTGGGATTATAGGGGTTGAGTCTCCATTTGACGCTGGTAACCATGAATTCATAGTGATATAAATCTGCTCTGTAGTCATTTCCTTGGGCTTTTAGCTGTCCAAATGCAGAGACAGACAAATGTCTCATTTTATCTGAGTCCAACAAAGAGATGACAAAGAAATTTAGTCTGTTCCAAGAGAATAACTGGTATTTAAGCTGGACAGGAATCTAAAGACAGAAGATGTTAATGGAAAGTAGAATCAATGGCTTGAAAGCTCCAGTAAAATCAAAGAACAATAGTAAAGGAATATATCAATAAACAAAGTAGAAGGAATATAGTCAGTAAATAAGATGCTAGTAATAGTGTTTTAAAGATGGAGCAGTTTGGGGTAATGGCAATGGCCAGGACATAACTAAGGGAGTGGGTGGCTAAGACAAGAGTGGAAATCATTGGAGACTGAGGCAACGAATTAAGAAACCAAAATACTGAATGGACTGTCTGGTAACATTACAGTGTCAAGGGGTTATGAGATCAAGATATGGGCGCTGAAGAGGCAAAAAGCTGTTTGGAGCCACTTTTCTCAAGAGGTTAACTATGTATAAGACAGCGTTCTGGTACATTCTGGATTCTTGCTTCCTCATCCATTAAGTGGAGATAATATCTTACTTGCAGTTTTGCTATAAAGATTAAAGCAGGACATTTATCAGTATCAGAACCCATACAAATTGGGTGGCTCAATGGATATTTTGAGACGCAGCCTGGTGTAGTAAAACGTACATGGATTTTAAAGTCAGATCTGTATCTATAAGGGTCTGCTACTAGAGAATTTCAACTTCCTGATCCACACAGGGGGGAAAAATGCTCTGTGGGTGGTTGTAAAGAGTTTATTATTGTGGGAACCAGTGTCTAAGCGCTTCCATTTCCTCTGTAAAAAATGAAACACGGTCACCTGATGGGGAATAGTTGGACGTGAAGTGGGGTATAAGGAGAACAGTGAAGGTGTAAAATAATTGCCATGGTGATTAGGAGATGAAATACACCAGGAAGCCACAAAGGGTTGCTTGTTGGTAGTGAGGGCTTGGTTGAAATTGGAGACCCTGAATATTTAGTGCTGTTCATTACACAGCTGTGTCTTTCTCTAGCAGTCTGAATGGAGGAACAGAAAAGATAAAACAGCTGGAATGATACAAAAAGGACATAAGGGAGGCAAGAAAATGCGGTGCTGGAGCAATAGGCCATTCAGACTGCTGAATACAGAAGTAAATTTCACAAGGAGGGGAATAAATGAGAGAAAAATGGAGAGGCTCAATATGGAAATAACAGGAACAGTGGGAACAATGTAGGGTAGAGGATGGAAGAGCTGAAATTATAGACATACAGGCAACGATAAAACGGGCCCAAGGATTTGCTTTATCCCCTTTTTTCCCCTAACCACCATCGCCTACTTCTCCCTTGGGCTTCTGTCCCTTAGGTCTGGCTATATTGCAGAATATGGTCCCCCAAGTTTCCCCTTTCTGACTGCTCCTGAAGACAAGCACACAGACCTTGGTGTAAAGGCTTTATCACTCATCCTGGGGTAGGCAGAAAATAATAAGAAATAACAACTTGGGAAATGATTGAAGTCCCAGAACACCCCAAAATTCTTAGGTTTCACCTCTGTTCTGGGGCTACTGACTTCCCAGGAGGCACTGCCTAAATACTCTGTCCATGATTTTTTTTTTTTTCTGTCTGATTTCTTGATCTGCTGTCCTTGGTTATCTCCTTTACCTACATCTAGCAGAATTCCTTAGAGTCCACAAAAAGAGTTATGAATGAATGTACACCTGGCTCACAAATAAGCCATTTAAGTCAGACAGATTTAAGTGAAGCACAGCTAGAAAAAGGTCTCATTTTTCTCTGCCATTTGGGCAGGAATCAACTTCCTGTTGATGTTACTAACATTAAAATTGTACCCACAGACCTTGCTTTAACCAGGTGCCTGGGAATGTTAAGGTTTTCCTTCTACACAGAGAAGGCAATTTCTCCACTGCCAGGGCTGAAGCCAACAGATATGCACTAACTGACAGAATAAAGGATGGTGCCAGTACAGTGGGCAAAGCTTCCCCGCCCAGAACATAAACCAAAGAGAGTAAAAGCGGGTTTATTGGCTCCAGGAAAAGGAGCAATAGTACCCAGCTCTCAGGAAACCCCTCGCTCTATACACAGGCTGCATCCAGCCCAAGGTCCACTGGCTCCTTCAATTTGAGGGTCCATCCAGTGCCTCCCTTCCTGGGGTTGGGGAGGGCTAGCTGCCTGATGGTGAGGTTCCGGACTGTGCAGCAGCAACACCTGGCCCTGCTGAGGCAGCCTCGTAGTCTGCGATGCGGCGCTGTACCAGAGCAGGCATGAGCTGCACATAAGCGGCCATGAGGCGGTGGTTGGAATGGATCAGCTTCCCAGCACAGCTGTGCAAACAGGCTTCCTAGAAGGAAGACAAGGTGAAGCAGAGGCCAAAGGTGTCCTGTCGGGTCCGTCTCCTTCCTTCCCATCCCTAGCCTAGGGGCGAGGGTCGTGGAAAGGCCAGGGCCAGAGGCAGGGGAAGTCGGGGTGGGGAACAGTCAACGGTGAACCTCCCTACAGAGTTCCCCACCTAACCTCCTCAGCATCCAGAGCTCGGTGGTGAAGGCTGGGCACGCAGCGCTGGAAGCAGAGTTCCGTCATCCGATTGTAGACCAACAGGAAGTCCCGCAACTAGGAGAAAAGGGGACAAAGAACTCAGCGATACAGGGGCACCTCGAGGCCGTGTCGCTCGAGGTTTCCCAGGACCGCACGCCACAACCCGACGTTCCCAGCCCTCGGATATCCAGCCAAATGGACAAGGGTGGTAGCTGAACTTATGGCCCTGCAGCGACTTAGCACTCACGTTTCTCAGCTGCTGCTGCTGCTGCTGCTGCTGCTGCTGCTGCTGCTGGGGCTCCATCGCGCCACCGCGCACAGTACGTCACTTCCCTACAGCGTCTTGGTAACGCCCCGGAAGTACTCGCTCCTCGCTCCCCAGGGACTGAGGGGTTGGCTCAAGGATGGCCCGGCCCCCGGCAAAACGTCATTTCCGCCCTTATAATCTGCGACGTGGCCGGCTTCTTCTGCCCGGGAGGGGACGTCACTTCCGCCGAGTCCCTGACCTGCTGCTAGGATCGCGACGGGAACTGGAGCCTGAGGTCCCCGCGCGGCCCGGGCCTGGCGCCCTGAGGGGAAGAGCGGCCCGGCCCGAGGTGAGAAGGACATACTTGGGTGAGGGGAAGTTGAACGCACGAATCTGCCCTGAGGGAAAGATGCCACTGAGCCCTGGGGAAGGATGAGGACACACCTGATGCCCAGGTGTATGGGGGGGCGGGGACTAACACACCTGGGGGACATAACTGACTTTGGAAGGGATCACTATGTTCTGGGAAAAAGAGGCTTTTCCCAGAGGCCGATAACATACACCAACTGATTCAACTAAGGCCTGGGGGGGAGGGCCCGAGGAAGAGGAGGTGCATGGGATGGAGGAGGGGGAGACCACCTGAAGGAAAGGGGAAGAAACACTAAGGGAGTGTGAAAGGCCAAGCAATGGAGAACATACCTGAATGGGAGGAGTAGGCTCCTGAGCCTTGGAAAGGGGTTAATCTGATGGGGGGAAACAGCTGCGTGGGGATAAGTTCCAAGACAGCACAGACCTTATCTGTCTTGGTCACTACTGTGACCTCGAATAATGCATGACACATAGTAGGCACTTATTAAATGAATGATTGAATGCATGAGTGATCACCTGAATCCTGGTGGGGTTGGGGGTTCATGAGAAGACATCTGGGGCCTGGGTGTGCATGTGGAAAGATATGCACCTTGGAGGGGAGAAATACATATCCATGAGAAGAGGAGTGGTGTCCCAACCCCAAAATACTCAAGTCTTGGGACAACCTCTAAAATCTCTGAAATGGTGGGGGAGACCTTTCTTTCTGGAGTACTGGCCAGTTTCCAGAACTGTCTGTGTTGGGCTTTGCAGGGCGCTGGGGTGGAGACTTTGACTCCAGTCCCTTCCCTAGCCATGACGGACGGGATTCTAGGGAAGGCAGCCACAATGGAGATCCCCATCCATGGGAACGGTGAAGCTGGGCAGCTTCCTGAGGATGATGGGCTGGAGCAGGTGCTTCTGTTTGATTCTTCTCCATATTGTTTCAATTTAGGAATCCTAAATCATAAGCCCTGGGCTCTCACCCCATTCCATTAGTTTTCCCCTAACTTATCTAACTCCCTCCAATCTTTTTACAAATCTTCATTCTGATTCTATGCAGACGTCCCTTGTGTGCTCTCTCTGTGATGCTTCAATCCAAGCTTGTTCTCACCCCCCAAATGCTTCAGCTGCCCCAATGTTCCTGAAGCCCCCCTCTTCTCTGGCCTATAGGACCTCCAGCAGGTGATGGTGTCAGGACCCAACCTCAATGAAACCAGCATTGTGTCTGGTGGCTATGGGGGCTCTGGTGATGGACTCATCCCCACAGGTATGAATGATCAGAACAGGACAGGAAGCTTGAGTGGAGAGAGGGAGGGGAATGGTTCTGGGGAGTATAAGATATGTCTAAGATAGCTTGAATTATGTCTGGAGATCTTGGGAACTTCTGCTAGTATGAGCAGGGTTGTCCAACTGCTCCCACTTGCCATTTAGCCCCTGAGATGTGACCATGTGTCCTTTCTCTGCTGCTACCACTCGAATCACATTAAGAACTCTGTTTCAAAGTTCTCCCTGCTCTGGAGCTTGAGACTGATTTGGAACTCTGAAGCTTCTCAGAGTTTTGCTTTAGACTCTAAAGTTTAGAGAAGCAAATATCTTTGAATCTCACACTGACTAGGATTCCAAATGAGAATGTCAGTGAGGTTTCCTGTTATCAGGACCCACCATCCTTGACCTGCCACCCCATTCTCAGCATATTTTCTTCCATTTTCTCTGCCCCTGTACACCAGCAACTCCCTCCCCCCACTCCAGACCCCATCACCACCTCAGAAGGAGGCCAGATGTATATTGGGATTTGGGTCTCAGGGCACAACGTGTGAGTTCTTCCTAGTGAGTAGGAGAATCTCATTGTCTCTAGTTTCTGCTACTTCAGGGAAGTCATTTTCATATGCTGGGTGGGAGGTATGGGTGGAGCCACAGAGATGTCTGGTTCTATCTGAGAGAGGCTGGTGTCAGAGAACTTGGTTCTTTAGGGTCTGGCCGCCATCCATCTCACAGTACCACTCCTGCTGGCCCCGGAGATGAGGTGGCTCGGGGCATCGCTGGAGAGAAGTTTGACATCGTCAAGAAATGGGGCATCAACACATATAAGGTGGGATTTAAGCACTTTTCCCTTCCCTCAAACTTCCCCTGGGTACCTCTTCCCATCTTCCAGATGCCACTATCCCATCTATGGCTGAGACTAGGAGTGTGGGGATGCTAGGGTCGATACCTGTTGGGGGGGCAGGGTGCTAGGGTCTCTGACCTATTCCCCCACTTCCCAATCAGTGCACAAAGCAGCTGTTATCAGAGCGATTTGGCCGAGGCTCCCGGACTGTGGACCTGGAGCTAGAGCTGCAGATTGAGTTGCTGCGTGAGACGAAGCGCAAGTATGAGAGTGTCCTGCAGCTGGGCCGGGCACTGACAGCCCACCTCTACAGCCTGCTGCAGACCCAGCATGCACTAGGTGACGCCTTTGCTGACCTCAGCCAGAAGTCCCCAGAGCTTCAGGTGCCTTGGTCAAGCCAAAGAGGGTGGGGGGACTGGGCCCGAGCCCTCCCAGGCAGTCAGCCCTCAGCCTCCCTCCCTCCCTCCCTCCTGCAGCCCAGAGGGAGAACCCCTCCAGGGTAGGCCCAGCCCTACCCCCAGCAGCACTCACCCGTGGAGGCAGCCTAAGGGTTTGTACAGAGGTTCAGAAGTTGGAGGGGTGGGGGAGGCGGCACACTAGATGCCTCACAAGTAACCCTTCTCTGCATCGGTGCTCGGCCTAATCAGAGCCCCTCCCTTGCCTGCTGCACTAGCTTTCCCTGTTCTAGTCCTGTGAACTTATCTGAGAACCCCACTCCCACATTCCTACCCCAGCCATCCCTGGGGTGGCCCCACTAACTTCTGGCTAAGAGAGCCTTTGCCAGTTTCCATGGCTGTTTCCTCCCTGGGGAGGAGGGGAATGAGGGCCCTATAGCTTTAGTCAGGTAGGAACTGTTGCTCAAGGCCTGTCCTCCCTTCCGCCCTCAGGAGGAATTTGGCTACAATGCAGAAACACAGAAGCTGCTGTGCAAGAATGGAGAGACACTGCTAGGGGCTGTGAACTTCTTTGTCTCTAGCATCAACACATTGGTCACCAAGACCATGGAAGACACGCTCATGACTGTCAAACAGTATGAGGCTGCCAGGTGTGGGCACCAATAGGGCCTAGAGTTCTGGGAGTTGGCTGGCATGGGTAGAAGTTTGAGCTTTGGGGTCATAAGAACTGAGGAAAGAAAGGAGAGTATGTGTGGAGGACACTGGGGTGGAGACCAGCCTGTATCACCCCTTCCCCAGGCTGGAATATGATGCCTACCGAACAGACTTAGAGGAGCTGAGCCTAGGCCCCCGGGATGCAGGGACGCGTGGTCGACTCGAGAGTGCCCAGGCCACTTTCCAGGCCCATCGGGACAAATATGAGAAGCTGCGGGGAGATGTGGCCATCAAGCTCAAGTTCCTGGAAGAAAACAAGGTGCCAACCCCACCCCTTTAACCCCAGCCCACCTTCCCATCTGTAACACTGACCTATCCCTACGACCCTCCCCAGTACTGGATGCGAGAAATGCAGCCTGGCTAAGGGGTGGGATCTTCCCCCAGCCCCTTCACCCCCTGGACCTTCCTAGTCACCCGCCCTCCAATCCCTGGCCCTTTTCTATTGGAGGATTTGGCTGCTGATCCCAGGAACATAACTGGGAAAAATCATCCCCTGAGGTGGGGTACCAGAACCCCCAAGCCCAGCAAATCAAGTCAGTTTTCTCCCATCAGACTGACCCTTATCCTTTGACTCCCTTAGTGGAGGTCAGCCCCCACCCTAAAAGCACCATCAGAGCAGAATCCATGTACCCCTGGTCTGGGCTCAGGCTCAAGAAGGGCATCTGAGTCCAGTCTCAGCTGACCCTGCTGGACCCCCAGATCAAGGTGATGCACAAGCAGCTGCTGCTTTTCCACAATGCCGTGTCAGCCTACTTTGCTGGGAACCAGAAACAGCTGGAGCAGACCCTGCAGCAGTTCAACATCAAGCTGCGGCCTCCAGGAGCTGAGAAGCCCTCCTGGCTAGAGGAGCAGTGAGCTGCTCCTAACCAAACCTGGCTATCAAGAAGGACATTGGGAGAGGCAGTCCCAGGGTGGGGGAGATTGGACATGGGACATCCCTTGCCACCTGCCCTCTGGCTTGGGCTCCCTTTCCCTGGCTGGGGCCTGACACCAGTTTTGCCCACACTGCTGTGGGTAGGGAGGGGGCTTGCAGGCCCAGCAGCTGCTGCCCTGTCCTTTATCTTCCTGGCCACTGGGCTTCATTCCCAGATCTTTTCCTTCCACTCCACAGCCAAAGGCTATGACAGAACCACTCCCTGGCCAATGGCATTACTCCTCAGGCCTGTCCCCAGATCCTGGGGTGTGCCCCCTGACCAATGGCAGAGCCTCAAAAGGCCCTGTCAGCCAATGGCAGCTCTTCTTGGGCTCCCCTGGGCCATGATGTTGCCTCCAGTACCCTTTGTCCCTCCTCTATGCGTCCCCCATTGCAGAGAAGGGGACTGGGACCAAAGGGGTGGGGATAATGGGGAGCCCTATTTCTGGCCCTGCATCTGAATGGGCTTCCCCTCACCTACCCACCCAGTTTAATTGTGCTTAGAGCCCTGGAAGATTGGGACCTAGCACTAGGAATAAACCTTTCATAAAAGCAGGCCCAGTGAGGTCAATTTGTGGGGGGACTCTAGGAGGGTGGGCTGGGTGGAGAAATG